CACCAGATTTGGTCCACAGGGCCTAAAGTGAATTAAAGTACAGCTTTTAGACCTCTATCCGTCGCTGATGTAATGCATTTTATTTGTAATCTTCAAAATCACAATGTATTTGAAGCCAGCCTGATAAGGGCGTAACTCCGTATGAGCATACACATGTAGTAGTCGCTCCTCCAAAGCCGATGATTCGATTGAGCCGGAGAATTGGGTCTGGAAGAAGCTTCTAACAAGGAGAGAAGAAAAGTAAAGGCAGAGATTTGTAATGAGCTCTCCATCAAATGATGTCTCTGGAGCTGGTTTTATTTTACTCTTCACTGTCCTCATCTCTTACCTGCTGTCTGGTTTCTTTGGACGATGATAAATGGACAGGATGTGGAACAGGGGTGCAAACAAACTGAGAATATAACAAGATAAATAGTGATTCCAAAGTTACCATAAAACTGTACAGTAAGGCATAATGGAGTCAAGGCAATTTATTATGCTGAACCTGATGCACAAAAAGAAAGAGGAATGTAGAATATAATAGGTTATTATGCTATTAACTTTAGTTGAATGTACAATCTAGTCCATATGGAGCTTCACCTCTTCTTCACTTTCCTCCCCATGTTTGCTGAAACCTTCCTCAGGATGCACATACACATGAACTTCCCTGTCATCAGCCTCATAGGGTGGCCTGAATGTGAGCTGGTGTGAACTGGAGCATGCTGACTCCTGCCGATGCTCGTCATCCTTATGGCTGAGCCAGTCATCCTTCTGGTGAGTGGTAACTACGCCCAGCTCGGGTATGCTGGTCACCAAGGGGGTTCGATTCCTCGGGAGCTGAGGAGACAGAAGGAGAACACTAATAACATTGTAGCATCCTAGAAAACTATATTCGTAATGCAAAGGCTCAAGCTTAACCATCTGCTATATTTACATATTTACAGACAAAATTCAAGCAGAGTGGAATCACATATACTTAAAAAGGTACTAAATGTTATCAGTCTTACTGATTTTGGACTGGTTATCTGCTGGATGAGGGATACACGGTCCTTAACTGGTTTGCTGAGGTTGACACAGCGAGACTCCTCTCTAATAGGGTTTCTTTGGTTGGAGACACATACTGGAAAACAAAAAGGTTATGAACGTCATCTACAATACTATTACCAAGGATTAGGATTACCAAGAAATGTATAGGCTTTGTGTCTGAAAGGACAACTCTGATCCCACATATTTGTCCTGTAATAGGTTTGTTGTTTTAAAGCTCTGAAGGCTCTAATTTACTTTGGTGAATATGCAAAAATATTACAACAAGTAAGACTGGAATGAAAGAAAAAGTAAATATTTATGAGATTTTAGATGCAATAACAAGTGGAACAACCCCGTCCCAGTCCAAAGAAAGAACATAAATTAGACCCACAGAGTATAGCATGCAAGGGCAGTAAAAAGCTGAATGATAAGCAGTGTGATATTTCATGACTTACTAGCCTCAGGCCTGGGATTGCCTTTTTGAATGGAGTCAAAGGGTAACTTTGTTCCCTCTGAGGGAAACCTGTTGGGGTAGGACAAGATGAGAGACTGCATTGCTGTACACTGTGATAAAGCAGGTAACTATATTCTTAAATCAATAATTACATAGACTGTATTTAATGCAGCTGGTGTTTTTAAATCGGACAATCATATATACCCACTGGTAGTGTCTCAGTAATACCAAACAATAATAAATATTTAATATCAGTAATAATAAATTCACCTTAACATGCTCACATATTATCAATCTGAAGTGTGTACCATTCATTTGTGAATGTTGTATTTTACATTTTTGGTGTGTTGCCATATCTGCTGATGTATGTACACTCTGTACCCAGGTGAAGTTACTATACCTGATGTAATCATAGAGATCATGCCAGGAGGTTCCCTTGGGCACAGGAAACGACATGTCTCTGGGCATAGGACCTGTTCCCTGAGAAGAGGCCAGCCCCATCAGCTTGGCTTCACTGAAGGAAACTCCTGTTGAAGGGGAAAATTGCACAAGTAGAAGAGAAAAGTAAAGATGTCATACAAGTAGTTTGTTCAGAAATCTAAGGATTTAGTCTGACTGAACTTCACACAGAATGATCGGTGTGTAAAGACCATAGACCATATATTTAAGGATTTCAAGTGCTCTCAAAATATTCTCAGAATAGCATAAAAGGGTTCTTTAATGCTCTAATAATGAAGCCATATGTTTTTTGTCTGTGACATTGAAAATTCTGACGTCATTTCTATATCAAAGTGCCCTTTAAAGAAGAACACATCACTTCAAACTAGTAGAAAACCACCAGCGGTATTCAAATATCGACAGGAAGTGAATCTCTATCGCACTCACCTGGATCTAGCAGTAGGTCACTGGTTAACATATTTTTCACTGCCATATTGGCACAAAGCTTAACGCTCTTCAGGTGACTGTAGCAGCGGTTGAGGTAGACAGAGAGAGTGTACTGCAGATCCAGCATCAGACAGGTCCAACGCACTGAAGTGGGAGCTGGACCCACCAAACCTGGACCACATAAACATTAATACTGCCATTATAATATATATACAAAAGTGCAGCGAACTATCAAAACAAATGCATGCAAATAATGGGTCACATGTAGGTAGTATGGTTACATGTGTGTGGATATATTTTACCATGTCTTGCAGATTTGGCTGTGCTTTCATAGACTGAGTCCTTTGCAGCGCCGCACAGGAAAGGAAACTGAAGCCAGGTGGGTGTAGACTTAAACTCTTTGAACATGTTGGAAAAGGAGATACGGACCACCTGGCCCTCCTACACATATCATACAGAGAGAGAGAGAGAGAGGGAAAGAAAATCGCTTCCTTAAAAAAAAAAAATAAATGAATTCAAACCAATCTTCACATACACCATATAAGTGGCATTTATAGTAGATGGGGTTAAATATCTCCCAACTAAACAAACTGCTCGAGTTTTCTTTTGAACAGTTCTAAAATGCCAACAGGCCTTTAAGAACTGCTTGAATATGACTAAAATCAATTGGATTTACATACATAAATTAGGACAAAGCAGCTGAAAAGCATAAGATGATGATTTTTTTTTTTCTTCCACACAATTGGATGGTATTTAACTTGAGAACGTGTAGAGTACTTTCTCCCACTTTGGAATTTTAATTATATTGGAATGCCAACACGTTAAAAAGGGACACTTTTAAATGTCAAAGAATAACAAAGAAAGCTAAAATGGCAGAGCTGTGGATTAATCTGATGGATTTCAACATAATCTTCAGTCACATGAATGGTAAAAAAATGTTTGTTAAATGATAGATCGCTTAGATAGATATCAGTACTCTTATTTTATTTATTTTTTGGGGACTTTTCATGCCTTTATTTAGATAGTGAAAGCTGGCAGGGAACACAGGGAACTGGAGGGAGAGAGAGGGTAATACAAAGGGCCGCAGATCGGAATCAAACCTGGGCCACTTCGGCAAGGACTCAGCCTTAGTACATGGGACGTGAGCTCTACCAGGTGAACTACCAGGGCACCCCAATATATCAATCCTCCTCATGTCACCATAAATACACATGCCACATGCCCAGGATCATCCGATAAAACCAGTTTCGATACCTCAGCAGAAACATCCAGGTGGACCACGAAGTATTTGTCAGGGGTGGGCCTGAAGAGAAGGTAGAAGTAGCGCCCCGTCAGCTCCAGAGACTGGTTGCTGTTTTTGGGTACCAGGATGTAGCTGTTGGAAGGAACGGGACCCCTGATCTGGAGCACTGGACACTTCAGCGTCTTGTTCTGGGGGATATCATGAAAAGTGGACAAAAAGTAGGCTAACTTTGGAGTGAATGCTTATAGATACTCCGCCCAAAGACAATCACTCCAGGTAGGCTTCAAAGTCAGTGAGTGTTTGTGCATGCAGCAGGACTGTTTTTAATGGAGGTTATGGAGCAGTGGAGTTTGTGACTCAAGTATGACTTTAAATATCACATTTACAGTCTATTACCGTGTATGTTGACACATCCCCGACTTTTGCCGACCGTTTCCAGTCTTCCACTCTGACATGTTTGAATATGTTGACGTAAGGATGCTGCCAACCTGCGAAGTCAAAACAGGGTTTTAGTAACAGACTTCACGGTAGGTTAACAGCATAGTTTCAAGTTATGGGTTTTTATCTCTAGTCTCTATAGTCTCTGTTGTTGTATGATGTAAAGTTTAAAGCTAATTTTACCTTTGGAGGCCATTGTTATCGAATATCGCAAATGGGAGATCCACCTGTTGATGTCCCAGTCTTGCTGCAACTTGTTAAAACTCGAGCAGCTAGTGTCAATTTAGAGATATTAGCTAGCAAACAGACAGCTAAATGGCCGAAGAAGCGCCTTCTCCGTTTTCCAGAAGCCAAAACGATAAAAACATGTTGTTTCACATCATTTTACGGTGCGAGGGCTGTTCCAGTACTCCCGGGTATCAAGTAAACAATAGTTTTAATTTGACAACAGCTTGGTACGGCAGTTATATCCTTCCCGCTCCAGCAGCCTCCGCCGTTGCCAACGACAGCACGACGCTCATGACGTCTATGCGTTGCTTTGCATGGCGCTTCTGGGTAATGTAGTTCAAACAGCAATGGGCACACTGAAGAGAAACTGGGATATTTTGGAATACGAGAGCAAAAGGGCTATACATTACCACCCAAGATATGCATATAGGTATGGTATAGATTAGCTTTACAGTTTGTCAAGTCCTTTTTGGGACTATTTTGTTTTTGTTTGCTGGTCTACCCATCTGTCATACCAAGTGATGTGACCACCCCACACACTACCGTCTTAGATAATAAATTAGCCATCCTGCACTGCTTTCATCACACATTAAAAAGTAAATATAAAGAAATATCCTTCCAATTTTTTTTTACTCCATTTGTATTATTTTTATGTAAAGATAGCTCAAGTCAGAAATGATAACAATCACTTATTCACATATTCACAATTTTACAACTTACATAATAACAATTATTCACAATGTTACATATTCACAACAAAACACATATAATCTTAAAATGTACAGTGAATGCAAAAAACTTATTCAGTCTGAATCTATATTTACAACATGTGGGAGTAACTCCACAGGGTCTTGAAGATGAATGAGGAAGGACACCTGCATTGCCACAGACGATTGTCCAGTGTCATCCGGATCCCCACGCTGCAGGGTGTTGTCTCTGTTTACCTCTGATGGACAGTGCAGCAAAGAGTCATCAGGCTGTGGGGAAGTTGGCTGAACTTGACGCCTAAAAATTAGCGAACTCTCAGGAGTAGGTGAACCATCAGGCATTGCCCTCACTGTTGTGGCAGATGATCTGTTGCGCTCTGGCACTGTGGCGATGGAGAAAGTGTCTACTCGAGAGTCAAGCACGCCTAGTCACTGTCCACAGCATACAATCTCAGCCTCTATCCTCCAACTGCATAACTTCCTCTTCAGCTCTGTCCTCACCTGCACCCAGAGTAAAATGAGCCATTTCAGAGTTAATGTACCATTTTGTGCACCAGTTTTGTGACATTTGCCAGTCTGATGCTTGAAAATGGAAACGGAAAGCAACTATAAAAATTACTAATAAATAAGTCCCCACCTGACAACCCTAAATTGGTTTCTTATGAAAATAAACATGTCATTATCAAAAGTATTAACAATGATTTTATCCAAATTCTGCCCTTTTATATGCATGCAGATTCATGTATGTTGTCTCTCACATAGTGTGACTGGTAACTATGCCTAATCAGGGTATAAAAATTAAATGAGAATATGAGATGAAACAACAAACCTCTTTATTGGCATAGCAGTAGAGCACAGACACCAGAAAGCCCTGCGGAGAGGCCACATTCAAGAAAAGTCCTGTTTAGTTTAAGTAATGTATACTATATTTGCTATTCAGGAACACATTAGATAATGTTTAGACAATTACATAGTTTTAACATGTCAGGTATATCAGCAATAGCAAGCAGCCGCTCTCTGGTCCAGGGGTAGGTTAAACCTACCTGAAATGAATTGAGAAAAAGGGTGAAGAAGACTTTGATGTAGCGCAGAACACCTGTTATCTGCTCATCTGTAGCAAAGATGAATATGATTTCATGAATCCCAAACAGAGGGATGAGAGTTAGGGTCGCCTTGGCAAGCCTAAGAGGACAAATCAAGCAGCAGAGAAGTTTGTCACAACACAGTTCATTCATACACCATGCAAACATTGTTTGTTCCCTCTCCTACCAAACACCCATTAGTGATTTTCTGTTACTGTTTACTGTACTGTTGTTGTTGTTAATTTATCATAAATGAAAATAGATTAAGACAACTTGCCGAAGTTTGTAATCAGGATATCCACTCTGGTTGTTGGCTCGTAATTTAGAAAGAATGACCTTCAGGATCTTCATGAAAATCATAAAGTTGATCTGTTGATCAGAACATCAAAGACTTAATTGATGCATCCTGTGCAAAAATTACATATTATGCTATATATTATACAGAGGGGTCCAAAATATCACATGATGACAAAATATGCAACTGAACACTGTTCACTATTTGCATCCTTACTAGTGAAGCAAAAAGAATTGGGAAGCGAATTATCCACCAGTAGTTCATGTTCTCATTTACAGCCCAACACCTGAAAAGACAAGGGATGTGATTACTATTCTTCCACTGTCTAATCTGGATCAGTGGGGGCAGGGGGTCTACACATTAAGTAATCAGGCACATGGGAATGCTACACACACACACACACACACACACACACACTTACTCTTTGTTTTCTTTTAATAGCTTCATCACTACCCAGGGGATCACAAATAGAAGTGGAGTTCCTATGTAAAAGAACAGTAGAGATTGCTGTAAGGCATTCATCTATAAAAGCTACACTGCTTTTGCTTTTTCCGTCCCTCCAGGCAGTTGCGATGTTGCAATCCTAAAAATTAACGCAAATTCAACCAATCCCTGTGAATTATGCCCAACCTTACAGTTTTGTCCAATCACCAAAACTTTTCTGCAAATTTGACCAATCATTATAGTTTCATGTACAAAATGTTGAGTCATATGTCACCAAACTCCCTTCCTTGTTGTGATGCAGACCAAACGGATGTCTCACATTTAATCTAAACAGTGTAATTTTTGTTCTCACTGGAACAAGTATCCTTTGATTTTTACTGAATTATACAAAAAATAACAATAATCACAAATGTTTTTGAAATGTTCACTTTTTCCCCCTACTTTCATTGCCTAAAAATGTGCATCGCAATTTTTTTTTTCATCCTGGAGGGATGGAAGTGCTGTTAATAGGTAGACTAGAGAAGGGAGGACGTATGACAGAGAGACATTTTTATGGTTGCATTGTGCCTGCTCCTTGAATGTGAGCTGTTCGCTATCTCTGTAATGAGGAGCTCTTTGGTGTGAAGTGGAATTCACTTTTAAAGGATGGCAAAAGCGGACCGTCTCCCAAAAAATAAGTCTCAGAAAAAGAGATGGAACTTACCCCAGCCAAGACAGATGTAAGGTAAGTATTTGTTATTGTCGATGAACACTGAGGCAATAAGCACGGAGTACAAATATATTGCCTCTCCAAAGAACCAATAGTGATTGGCCAGGACACAGTATTGCATCATCACCTGTGCTATCCTGCAGCCAATAGCAGCCTAGAGGGAATGGTCATAAAAAATACATATAGCATAAGACTAATGTTTAAACTTGTGTTGGCTTCATCTATGTTAAATACGCTGAGAATTTTTAGTGGTGATCTACAACAAATAAACAACAGTAAACCGCCATCAGTAGATTTAAAGACCTACCTGGTGACTGAGCATCTCTCTCACGTCGGTCTGTTTCATGATCTCTCGTCCCCAGTGGCGTTCCAGCATGGTGTCCTTAATTATAACGGAAACAGCTCGCAGGATGAGCGACAGGAAGAGGTTAGCATGAATGTAGTTCCTGGTGCAGTGCAGTTTCCTGTAAGGAGAGATAAAAGTACCAAACATTTGAATTTTGTGTGTCAGTGCTTTAAATTAGTTTTTCTTTCTTGCAACTTTGCTCTTGATTTTGTTGGTTTTCTTTTTTTTCTTTTAATGGACTGAAATTAAAAAAAGCTAATTTTATCTATTTTGTCTCAGTTTTTTTTTTTTTTTTAATATCACTATTGTTTGATAACCCTGTAATCACTTCACTTCTATATCATCACTGTGTATGCTAAAAGTTGTAAAATTTGTTCCATGCAAAATTTATTACAAATGATCCTGCATTTGTACTCGATTGTTATAAATGCTGAAGATCTCGACAATTGCGAGGTATCTGATTTGTATTTAGAATGAATGATGCACTGTCAGATCTGTTAGATCTGATTATCTGTTTGAAGTATTTCTCACAGCTTTTGTCAAAGAGGAGGGAGAGATCTTCTGAGCAGCTTCATGAGGTATGATTGACACACTGGTAAATAATATGCTAAAAAAAAAAGACCGCACATCTGTTAGACAGCTTACCTAAAGCTCAGAAGAATGATAAGAGCCGTTATGAGCGTGAAGAGGGACAAGGAATAGCCAACAGTGTACAACATCCTGAAGCTCACCATCAGTTGTTTGAACCACAGCTGTAAAGACAAAATCCATATCAGTCACTTGTTGGAAGTCAGACCTCATAAATGACAAAAATAAATAATAATAATAATAATAATAATTAGAAGAAGAAAGAGGGAGAGACCTCTCCTTTGTTAACACACTCACAACCTTGCAGACATGAAGCCACGAATGTCATTTTCTAATGTCAAATGTTAATAAAGCCAAAGTCATGTTATTTTGCCCTACAGTATAGGAATACGTAATATTGCACTGTGCACAGGAGGCTGGAAATATTTATTTACTTTAAATATTTCTCAGTGGAAAATTCTCACTGTTGCTCATTATTTACAAACTGTCCCAGAAGTCAACTGAAAACCTCCACCTTGTTAAAATACAGCTGCCACAACTGTCCAAAACTATACATTGTGATGTTGGCTGTCCCTGGGTTAGACAGAGAGCATGAGAGCGTTTGCTGTCTGGATTTCAGAGCCCTTCTGTTAGATATCAGATGAGCAAACTCAGCATCCTCATTTAAATCTAAACCTGCAATAGCTGTTGTTGTTTTTGTAACTTTGGGGCAGCAGAAACAGGCTGTAAACACACTGACATATTACTACTTTTTAAGTTGATACCATGCTAGCAAACAGTTGCCTATACTCACACACTGATACAGAGCAACAGTAGCATTCGTTTGGAGTCTTATTTCTGGCCACCTGATGAATGTAGGCCCAATTTTCTCTCTTATTTAGCTCTGTTTTTGGTCTCACCTATTGGTACCAACTCCAGAGGGCTAATCTGACTCTTTTACAATCAACTATATCCAGCTAGTTGCTAAGTCTGTGCCATTTGGAGTTTTTTTTTTTTTTTTTTGCTGAAAAGAGCTGCCTGCATGCTGATGAGAGAGGTGACACTGAACCAAAACTGTAAAGTTGCAGGCCTGGATGCCAAAACAATTAGCTCAGAGACAGCTTCAAATAGCTGATGGAGGAACTGAAGTTGGGTGATACAAGAAGCTACATCTTTCACAATGACATATGTGATCCGTTGTTGTAGATATTGATTATAGCTGCTTAAAGACCTTAACGCTCACTAATATGCTTTCAATTGATATTTTACTCTTGTAAATTCTATATTTAATATTCATTTTTTTGTGCACATATTGAATTGGGTTTTTTTGTATTTGAAAAGAACTTTCAACTAATTAAAATAAAATAATTTAATAAAATCTGTATTAT